GGAGCTCTGCCAACAGAACCGTGGGGCCCACTGTTGACCGTCTCCTGCCCGCCCCCCCCTTTCCTGGGCTTCCCAAGGACAAAGGCCCTCCACCAGCTGGACGAGAGGCCGGGGCTGTGGGAAGGGGAGCCAGGGGGTGAGCCGCCTTCAGTGCCCGGGGAAGTAGGGGGGCAGCCCAGGGACCCACAGGGCAGCCGGAGGAGACTCTTGGCTGCCAGTCTACCCAGTGGCTCTGATGAGAGAGCTGACCGTGACCTCAGCCTGCTCCGAGCGCAGCGGCAGAAGGTGCCGGCTTCCCCGCGGTGCCTTCTGGAGGAAGAGTTTGGAGGAAGCACCTCCACAAACAAACTCGGCCTGTGCTGTGGGAACAGGCTCCCCTCCTCGGTGCCAAGACAGAGAACACCGGGCCTCACGGTCAGGCTGCCTGAGTCCGTCCCTCCCCGGGAATGGCTCCCTCTCCGTAGCCTTGGGTGACCGTGATCACCCCTCCCACCCCCCCCCCCCCGGCTGCTCCTGAACCCCAGCCCTGCAGCCCGCCCCCTCAGAGAGCAAGCAGGGGCTCTGGTCACGCTGCACCTTGAGTTGCGGGGTGTGTGTCTGTGGGGGGGCTTCATAGCTAGGCCTGGGGGCTGGCCATCGTGCAGTCGGGTCTGGTGGAGGCAGCTAGCCAGCCACGCCCCCTCCCAGGCCAGCAGCAGCCGGAGGGCGAGAGGCACAGGGGCCGGGGGTGGTGGGGGAGCCGTGGGAGCCGTGGGTAAGTGGCACTGAGCCGTTCACTGAGGAAGGCAAACGTTTATAAAATGAACAAACAGAAGGAAAATACAACAGTCTTCACAGGCTGATTGCTAATTAGCCTTATTGCCCGGAAATTGGAAAGCAAACGAGGGCAGCGCCTCGGGCTCCGCCAGCTGCCCAGGTCCTGGCCCAGCAGCCCCCTCACCGGCCCTGGGCTCCGACGGGCCGGGACCGCCTCACGGCACGGCTGCGGTGAGGAAGAGGAGGGCCTTGTCCAGATGCAGGCTCCCACGGCCCGGGGCAGAGCCAGGGCAGGGCTCAGGGGCGAGCGGACGACGTGCGGGCAGCGGGGGAGGGAAGGAAATCAGAGAAAGATGCCTCTGTCTTATGGGCGACGACCCCGTGCCCCCTCTACCCCCGGGGTCACCCAGAGCTAACGTCACAGGCCCGGTCCCCGCCTGTCCTCCGCCGCCTGTCCTCCCGCCGCCTGTCCTCCTCCGCCTGTCCTCCGCCGCCTGTCCTCCCTCCGCCTGTCCTCCTCCGCCTGTCCTCCCTCCGCCTGTCCTCCTCCGCCTGTCCTCCCTCCGCCTGTCCTCCCTCCGCCTGTCCTCCCGCCGCCTGTCCTCCTGCCGCCTGTCCTCCCTCCGCCTGTCCTCCCGCCGCCTGTCCTCCCGCCGCCTGTCCTCCCTCCGCCTGTCCTCCCTCCGCTTGTCCTCCTCCGCCTGTCCTCCGGCCGCCTGTCCTCCCGCCGCCTGTCCTCCCGCCGCCGCTGCCAGAGATGCCTGGGGAAGTCCAGCCCCTAAAGAGGCAGCGGCTCTTTGCCAAACGGTGGTGAGGTGAGGACTGCAGTTCACGGAGGTGAGCAAGACCACCTGCCAAAAGGGGGTCACAGCAGCACGAACGCGGCCGCGGTGGCAGGACGGAGGAGGGCAGGACCCTGGGCCGCCTCTGCGGGCTCCCAGCAGCCGGCCGCCGGGGCTGTGGCCACCCACCCTGCCCCCAACGCAAAAGCAACACGCACCGCGGTCCTCAGCCCAGTCTCACCGGCGGGAAAGGTCAGAGTATTCCTTCCGTGTTAGTCATCTGCGGCCCTTCCTTTTTTTAAGGAGGAGACTTGGATAGTCTGGTTTTTTGTTTGTTTTTAATGTATTTTTATTGATTTCAGAGAGGAAGGGAGAGGGAGGTAGAGGAACATCAATGATGAATCACTGACCGGCTGCCTCCTGCCCAGGCCCTCGTGGGGCTCCAGCTGGAACCCGGGCCTGTGCTCTTGACCAGAAGCGAAACTGGGACCCTTCAGTCCGCAGCTGATGCTCTATCCACTGAGCCAAACGGCCAGGGAAACGATTGTTTTTAACTACCAACTGCGGACACGGCTGGCTAAGCACTGGCCGTCACCGTGCCGGGAGGGGGGGGACCCGCCGCCAGGGCTGTGCCAGACGCCGGGTCTCCTGCCGGCCCCACCCCATGCGCTCGGCTCCGACATCCACGCCACCGGCGAGATTCATCCAGGCAGTGATGTCAGGATGCGGGCAGCTTCCAATTTATCTTGGCTTCGGGGCAGCGATAAATTTTACAGCTACACCTGGTTTCCATCTCCTCTGTAGCAACAAGTATCTTCAAAACAAAACTTTAGAACCAACACATATTTCTGCTATCTTTGGACATTTTCCCGGCCTCTGACGGATCCAGGCTCCCGAGGCCCAGAGCCACGTGCTGTTCGGATTCTGAGAGCGGTGAGCTCGGCGGGAGTGGGTGACGCCGGGTATGAGGTCCGCGGCGGTGACCGGCAGAGGGAGCCAGCCTCGCTCCCGGGGGGCGCCATCGCCTTGGCCTCAGCCCCTGCGGGGAGGAGCCCCGCCCGCCCAGGCTGCCACCTGCAGTCAGGGCAAGGAGCAGGGTGCCAGCGGGAGAACGGGCGGAACCAAGGCTGGGAGGGTTTCATTTTCCAACAGGGAGTCCAGGATCCTGCGTGGTTGAATGTAAAACTGGGGACAAGACAGTACATTGGAACCTCGCATGTAAGAGAGAAAAACGCAGTCCCAGCTGCTCACCGTTTCCTAAACGGAATCCACAGGGTGGGTGAGGGCAGAGAAACGGGGCCAGGTCGTGTCTTTCAGCCCCAGGCTGAGCATTATCCCCAGAAGCTCTCACGGCAATGCTCCTGCAGATCATGCTCGCGAGCCGCAGGCGGGAGATAATCATGAGCACAGCTCAGGGAGCCCTAAAAACAGGAATGGAGCTTCCTCCTTGATCTGGGGAGACACAGACCCTACAGCACCCAACTGCTGCCGACCACAGCCCATCCTGGGGGAGGGACGTGCACCCAACAGGAAAGACCCCTGGAAACGAAGCGGCACCCACACCCGCTCCGCACACCCGGACCCACTGGGCCACCTGCTCCCCGGGAGGGCAGACCGTGGGCACTGCTTCCGCTCTCCGGCCCGGGGCCTGACTGAGCCCCATCTCGTGTGTGTGTGTGTGTGTGTGTGTGTGTGTGTGTGTGTGTGTGTGTTGGGGGGAGCAGCCTCCTGGGCCTGCGGACAGGATGGGCCCTGCTTCTAGCACCCCGTCCCCCACCACTCAGCCTGTGTAGTATCCGTGGAGCCTGCACAAAGGACGTGTGAGCTCAACAGCGACGAGGCCCTGCCAGCTGTCGCCATGCAAATACATCCTTGTAACACCCCATAGGTCTTTCCCGGCATCGCTGCTGAGCACAGCCGTGCTGGTCAGAGCAGCCGGCGGGGAGGAGGAGGGAGGACTTCCTAGTGTGGCCATGAGACAGAAAAGGCTCCGGAGAGCTGCCGCCAGGACCCCGGTGCCGGCCCTCTGCAATGGAGGCCCTGGAAGGCCCGAGCAGACACGGGGACACTGCTGGACACTTCTCCAGCCCATCCCACCGCAGTGCCGAGGATGCCGCACAGGCCGGCCGGCCTGAGGGCTCCCGCGGTGGAGCACAGCCTGTGGCTGTGACAGTCCGTTCAAGGCGGCGAGGGAGACGCAGACCCTGGACCACAGCCCACTGGGGAGCAGGAGGGAGGCGAGGAGGGATGAAATTCCCAACTTCCCTCAGTTCCATAAGCCCCGAGTTTCAGGACCAAAAACCAAGACCACAACCTACGATTACTGTTTATATTTCAGGAGGGAGGATATCCCTAAACTGTGTGGCAGAGACCAGGAAACTTCAATTACACCAAAAAAAAATTCTCCTTGCCCAAAGCAAATCCTGGGGAGGAGGGGCCACGTGTGAGCACCTCAGTCTGGAGTCCTGACGAGCGGCCGGGCGTCTCCCCACTGCGGTCCGGCTTCTGCAGTTCCCTGGGCGGCAAGGCCCATCGCCCAGGTGGGGGTCCGTCCGCAAGAATGCTCTCAGGTCCTGCAGCCATCAGCCGCCTCTGCCAGCTGCTCGTCAGCGCCTGGTCCCGACCACCTCGGCCACATTCCCCGTTCCCTCTGGGATGTGCCCACTTCCACAGGGACAGGTTCAGGGCCACCTCAGGCTTAGATCCCTTTCCTCCTAGCTTCCTCACTGCTTAGTGTCTTACAGCAATGCGACGACAGAAATAACAACTGAGGACAACATAACGGGGTACGAGAGAAACTGGTTAAACTGTAGTGGCAGCTACAATGACAGCCCGGGAGCTGCAGAAGGGGACCCTGTCTCACAGCAGACACGCCCGCCCGCCCGGATCAGGGTGCACCTGACACAGCGGCCAGGCGGCAGGGCCCAAGCAGGGGCCGGGCCCAGACCGAGGGAGGGCACGTGAAAAAACGCAGTCTCCAGCGCCTTTGCCTTTTAATATAAGATTTGCTTTCGTCATTTGAGTGCAACACATTTCTTCTAAAAATAGAGCTCTCTGCTTGTTCTGAAACAGCTTCCACGTGGAGGTGAGGGGTGAGGCCACTGTAACTCGGGAGGCGGAGCCAGTGCGTCCGTCACGGACGCTTCTCAGGGGGTCCTGGGTGCTCGCAGCGAGGAGCTCGTCTCTAACCCGCAGCACCGAGGGGGACGGACGCTGCACCCCTTCCCCGCCTGGTGTGAGCTCCTCCCGAACACGCTGCCGACCCCGGCCCGGACCAGGCGGCAGCGGCCCCCAGGAGCCGGGCAGAGGGCCCCCGCACGTACCCACCAGAGCCCACAGTGCCTGCCCTCCCGCACGTGGTTAGGGGTGTGCGGGCACAGACAGGACACAGGGACGCTGGGGGCTGCACTCCCGCCTGGGCCAGCGCGGACCGGCGTCCACCCCCACGCCCCCGGAGGCGGGTTAACTCCGGAACCCGAAGATGCCCTTGATGTAGCCGGTGAGGCCGCTCTTGGCCTTCTGCTCCAGCTTGTCCTCCAGGGGCGGGAAGGCCACGTGGTTGAGGGCCAGGTCGAAGAAGAGGGGCTTGCAGGGGATGGGCTGGAAGCCGGGCGGGAAGTGCACCAGGTTGGCTTGCTTGGTGACGAGGGAGGGGTCCAGGCAGAATGTCTCAAACCGTTCCACCAGGGGCTGGAAGGCAAGCCGCAGGGAGGGATGGGGTGAGCCGCAGCCCGGCAGGGGCCGCCGTGTGGAGCGCCCAGTTCAGGGCCTGTAGGTGCGACCTCACTTGGTTCCACGAATCTGTGTTGCACTTAACAGCTGAGGCCAGAGGGGCCGGCTGGGACTGGGGTACACCGAGCCTCCCAGTGGGGTGCTCCTGGCACCCCAGTCCTTGAGCTAAGCTGGGCCATCGAGGTCCCCAGTCCTTGAGCTAAGCTGGGCAACTTCGGGGTTCCCGAGTGAAGGGAGAGCAGGGTAGCCCTTAGGGTTAGGGTCCCTCACCAAGGAGCACACGTTCCCGAGAACCCGCCAGGCTCACCTTGTTGTCCTTGACCTGGGAGGCGGTCTCTGGTTGCTGGGAGTCACTCGCATCTGAAAGGTCACGGAGTCAGTAAGGACGGGGACTTGGCAAATGGTCACAGACGACATCTCTCGCACGTGCGCAGAGGCCGCCAACCTGTGGGCGAGGGAGCCTCCCCCTCCCGGGCCCCACTGCCGAGGAGCCCGCACTGTACGGAGACACGGCTGGGCGGAGGGACGTACGACGGTCCCTGAGATTCCTCCACGTGACACAGGCGATGGTGGGAAAATGAGACTCGTACAGGTTAACCAGGACCACCCGTCCATGCCCAGAGAGCAGTGGGGGGAGAGGAGGAGCGCGGGAGGGCTGGGGGAGGCTCACCCAGGATGGCCGCCGCCTGCAGAGAGCACTTCTCCGACCTCACCTGCGTGATGAGCTCCTGCACGTCGGGCAGGTCCTGCAACAAATCAGAAACCGCGGACTCAGGAGCGGGCGGCCGGAGCACCAAACCCCTGAGCGGGCGATGCCGCTGGTCTTTCCAGGATTTCAGACTGTGAGCACTTCCCTATTGAGAAACACCAGCCGGTTCTGACAGGGAGCTAAGCCATGGTAAGTAACAATGCGAGGAATAATGAGACTAACGGCAGTATTAATAAGTTAATTACACACTAAATGCACCATGCCATTTTATAGGGAAGACTGAAGCGCAGAGGGGCCAAGTCCCGTGCAAGCCACACCCTCAGGGGCTGGACGCTGGGACCCACCCAGCCATCTGGCTTGGCACAGGCCCTCCTCCTGCCTCGGCTCTCACTGCGCAGTGCTCTCAGCGGCCCCACACAGGGATCCCTCGCGCTTCTTTTCCAGACACCCCCACACCCCGGGCACGTTAGGGAGGATGGCGTTTGTGAAACGCTTCTCTCCTGGGACAAGCCTTGTCCTGGTCGCCTCACATCTGGACACCCCCGCACGTGACACTGCTGCCACCGTCACCTCCTCCGCCTGCACCGCCCGCCCCCCCTGGGCCGCCTGTGCTCCGGGACCCGCCCCGCTCCCATCACAGACGGCTCCCACCGCGGTCCGGGGAGGTGACCGCGCACAGGCTCCCTGATGGCAGAGCCGGGTCTAACCGCAGCCCCTCGCCGAGGGCGGTCTGGGCCCACAGCCAGGCTCGGTGTGAGACCGGTGCTTCTGTTACAAACCTCCGCTCGCCGTTCTAACCGTCTCTGCTCACAAACACACACGGCTCCTTGGGCGGCTGGTGCTTCAGGAACCTGCATCATCGGAGTCCCGAGCTCCGGCAGCCCTCACAGCGGCGGGAAAGCACACACCCACCGCCAGACCGGCCGCTCGCTCTGACGAGACCCACCTTCAGGCTGCTCCGGAAGGCGCCGGCGCCGGCGCCCACCTCGTCTGCGTACTTCAGGACGCGGTCGTACAGCACGAGGGCCTCGCTCCACTTCTTCACCAGCACGTAGGACTGCGCGATGAAGAAGCACCTGCGGAGGGAACGGCTCTCCTTGCGTTCAGGCTGACCGTAAATTTTCTCAAGGGAGAGGGAGGGGGAGGGAAAGGAACAGGAACATCGGCTGGTTGTTGCATTTACTTATACATCCATGGCAGTTGGTTCCTGTATGTGCCCTGACAGATCAAACCCACAACCGTGGCCTATCAGGACGAGGCTCTAACCACTGAGCGGCCCGGCAGGGCTAAGTATTAAATTTGGAAACAGGTTTCTTAACCTCCGGATCACTGCCTGGGAGACCCCGCGCTCTCACTGTCCCGGTCTGCGGCGCTCACCGCATCCTCCCCGCAATCGGAGGGGCCAGGAGGGCCCAATGTGAACCCAGCCAGCTCCGCCCACTCCGGTCACACCCCTCATCTCTGCTCATCTGTTTCAAAACCAAATCCAAACCCCCTTCCGAACGGGAACCAGTCTACCCGGAGCAGAGCCTGAGGCTGCCAGCCTGATAGGACAGAAGGGTCCCAGGGGCCAGGAGGGGCACCCTGAGGAGTCAGAGTGTGGGGGTGTGAGGCCAGAAAAGGGCTCCAGGCGGCCATTTTGTCCAGACCCCTCTTGCTACACAGCCCGCATCCAAGTTCAAATAACGAGTCATTTAGAAAAGCGAGAAGCCCGCCTTCTCTCAGCTTCAGCTCAGGCTCTGCCTGGCTCTGCTGGCTGACCCTTTTCCAGCACCGTCCCTTGTTCATGGATGGAGAGGGAGGGGGGAAGGAGGGAGAGGAGGGGGAGGAGGAAGAGGAAGGGGAGAAGGGAGAGGAGGGTTAACATGCGGGCTCTCTGGCTGCCCTGACCCACCCAAGAGCAAACAAGGACCCGGGCCCCTGAGACTTGGCTCGAACCCGCTGGCCGCCGGCCTCTGACAGGGCAGGCTCCCCGCAGCCAGCGCCCAGTCTCCCGGACAGAGGCCGCCCGTCCTCACCTGTAGGCCTTGTACACCAGGGTCCGGAGGCCGATCTCCTTCTGGAAGGCTCTGTCGTCCTCCAAGCCAGGGAGCTGGAGCAGCTCCGCCAGATTCTGCACGAGACAACAAAGAAACCTCATGAAGCGGTGGCTGCGACCAGAGCAGGCCGACCAGGGACATGAAAGCCTGGGCTTCGATCCAGTGACCTGCAGCAGCCACACCTGGGCCACCTCCCGCGTCTCCGACCCGCGGCCTACTGCCCTTTCGGACTCAATGCAGCCCGGCCAGAGGGCGGCTCCGCTCGGCTCGGCGCCTTCCTTCCAGAGCGGCCCGCTCTGTGTCTGGGCCTGTGACTCCCTGGCAAGCGCCCAGTGTGGCCTTGGTCTCAGGACGCGCCACAGCACGCGGGCGAGAATCACGCGCAGGTCAAGGGCTGAGCTAACCCTTGTGCTCCCTGGTTTCTCTCTGCACATCAACACGCTGAGCATCAGGGTCACAGGCCTGGCCGGGTGCTCGGCTGGTTGGAGCGTTTGTCCCGGACACCAAGAGGTGGCGGGTTCCATTCCCGGCTGGGGCACAGCAGGAGGCAGCTGATATGTGTTTTTCTCTCACATTGATGTTCCTCTCTCTATATACCCCCTTCCTCTCTGGAAATCAATTAAAAAAAAAAAAAAAACAGTAATAAAATACATACATAAATAAATGTGTGTCCCAGTCACTGAAGGGACAAGAAGGACAGGACCTCTGGCTTTTACCAGGACCCCGACAGCGGCTGTGTCACCACCCTCACTGAGAGTCCCACGGAGCCCGGCCCCAGGCACCTGCAGGATGATGTCGTAGAGCCGGATCAGGTCCTGCGGCCGGGCCGAGCGCTTGCTGTCGTCCTCCGGCTGCGGCTGCAGCAGGGCCCGCTGCAGCCCTTTCGCCATGTTCTCGTTGCGCTTGATGGCCGTGGACAGCTTGATGTACGTCAGGTAGCTGGAAGGGAGCACACGCTCAGGCCCTGACGCTCTGAGAGGAACCTCAGGTCGGGGCTGACCTAGGGGAGCGTGGGGTGAGGGTGTGCCCAGAGCCGTTCAGCCTGGCCAAGCCCGCCATGCCGGCCGCTGCTCAGGGCAAATAAGCAGGGACCAGCCCGGGACCGCCTGCCAGGATTATTTCAGTCGGAGTTACAGGCTGTTTCTTCTTTTAGGAGCGCAGAGCCACCAACCCCGGAGGGGGTCCTTGCGAAGACACGGGGAGCACGCCTGGTCCCGGACCCAGGACCGGAGCACGCCGGGCCCACACACACTCCAGCAGGCATGTCGAATGAGGCATGCAGCCCGCCGCCCGAGTGTGCCATGCCTGCACCACGGGGAGGACGCTCCGTGACGGCTCCCTGTGGGGCGTCGCTCCGGATGGCTGTGCGGGCGGCATGTCCCGGAGGCTGTGCCCGGCGCCTGCTCGCTCTAACGGAACCCCCGGGGAGGCTGGTTGGCATTGGGGCCGCAGGTGACCGCTGAGAACCCGTAAGGAAGCGCGCAGGCCTCCAGGTTCCCACCGCCTCTGGCGGAAGACGGGAGGCCGCCCGGGAGAGGACACAGAGGCCTGGGCTGGGGACAGGGACTCGGTAACGAACCAGGGACCAAAGGACGGCAGTCTGAGTGCTGACTGGCCTCCCAGCTTCCAGAGCACAGCAGCCGGGGTGTTGTGGGGACCTGACTGCCCAACAAGACCCTGCGAGGCTGGAGGGGGCCGTGAGGAGGCAGAGCCAGAGGCCACAGTGAAGCCAGAGCTGACGAGCCCGAGCAGCGTGCCGAGCTGCCGCCAGACAACCACCTGCTCCACAGGAGTGCGAAGCGGACGGTTACTCCAACCAGACAGAGAGGTCCGAACCAACAGGAAAACGAGCACCTTAGAAGAAGCAGGCTTTGCAGGGAGCAGAAAGCCTGAAATCATGATGATTGATCCCCGAGAGACAGGAAGACTTCCCGACCACAAAGTTAGAATGAGACACTGACTTTTAAAAACAAGACTCCGAGAGACACAGTCCCAGAAAGGCCTTGAGAGCAGAAGTGAGAGCCACCGGGAGTCGGAGGGGAGGGCATACACACAGGTCACACACTCGTGCCAATGATGTGCTCATCGCACTTGCACGCAAGCGTCACGCCTCACCTGTGCAGGTACTGGAGGTTGGAGACCTTCCCCGACTCCCCGTCCAGGGTGAACTCTCGCTGCTTCTGCGGGAAGCGGAGAGGCACAGGTCACACACTGACCTCCCCCGGGCTCTGGCCCTCCCCCATGTGTGGTCCCAGCGCCCCGGAGGCTCCTCCAGCCTCAGAGCTACTGGCCATGTTCCAGAACGGTCACTCTGGCCATGGATGCCTGGAAACTGGACGTGAGTGAGAGGGGAATTCAGAGTAACGCCAGCGAGGCTTCTGTCCGCAGCTCTGAGCCAGACCCACGGCAGTAAGGGGGGACAGACAGCCCACAACCACGGCGCCAGCCAGGGTCTGGCCCTTCGGCCCAAGTTGGACCCCTTGTGGTGTCAGTGCCTGCCTTCTGTGGCTGCCGAATGATAACCCCAAAGATGTCCACCCCACCCTGGAACCTGAGCAGCGGTTCTCTCCCACGGCGAGAGGCCTGAAGAGGGGGTGAGGGTAAGCCTTGGATTGGCCTGGAATACCCGGGGCCAATGCAATCCAGGCCCTTATAAGCGGGAGGCAGGAGAGCTGTGACACAGCGAGGCGGAGGCAGAGGTCAGAGAGGAGCCTGAGGAGGCAGGAAGGCACCGTGAGCCGAGGAATGCAAGTGGCTTCCAGAAGCCAGGAAGCGCGTTCTCCCCGAGGTCCCCCAGGCTTCCAGGAGCCCAGGCAGGCGTCCAGCTCCAGAGCTGCTGGGACAATCAGTGTTGCTGCTGAAGCGGCACGGGCGCCAGTGCCCTGCTATCGCCGTGTCCCTGGCTGGGAGGTGGCCCTCTCTGCTGTGAGCTCCAGTGAGTGATGGAGGCTGGGGCTGTGCCTGTTTTGTTTTGTTTTTAAATACATTTTATTGATTTCTCACAGAGAGGTAGGGAGAGGGATAGAGAGCTAGAGACATTGATGAGAGAGAAACATCGATCAGCTGCCTCCTGCACACTCCCTACTGGGGATGTGCCCGCAACCAATGTATGTTCCCTTGACCAGAATCGAACCCGGGACCCTTCAGTCCGCAGGCCGACGCTCTATCCACTGAACAACACCTGTTTTGGCTGTATGTGCCTGTTAGTGGAGGAAGGGAAGGGTCACGTGCAAAAGCAGCTTCATGGGAACGGAGGCAGGTGGCTGCAGCCTGACAAATATTTACTGAACGTTTTATCCCCAGGGTACTGAGACATATGCTGAAGGAAATATACTGCTGCTTTTAAGATGCTTACAATCTTGAGGAAATCAAAAGAGTAACTATAAAATGATACACCAAATGTTGAATGGCAATTCCTTATTAACTATGGAACATGTAGGTACTAGGAGAGGGAGGTGTTTGTGGGGAGGACGGAGCAGCAGGCGTCTCGGAGGGGAGCTGTGGTCTGGCCCCGGAAGCCGGCGCGGTGTGGGTGTGAGGAGGGGGCGGGAGGAGGAGCGGGTGGAGGAGGGGAAGGAGCAGGGGGAAGGCCTGTGTGTGCTGTGCAGACGACGGTGAGCAGACAGCGGGAGGCGGAGGGCACGAGGGAAGCAGCTCGGCTCGGAGTGGGAAACGGGCTGGACACCGGCGGGTCGCACTGGGCCTGTCGGGCCCGGGCTCTCACGGGCGCTGCACACACCCTCAGAGCGTGGCTCTAAGGAGAAAACTATATCTTCTCTTTTTAACTTAATTTAAAAACTTTCTAAATGCATTTTAGGTATTACAGACCAGCTGACTAATGGGGCATGTAGCTTACAGACAGACACATCCGAGGTAAATGCTCAGGGTGACGGTGGGCGGGCATGGGCATACACCGGGACCACTGCTCCGGCCCGAGGGGTCACTGGCCCCGAGAGACAGGGGATGAACGAGCGGCCAGAGAGCGACAGGGGGAGCGGTGTTTGGTGACGGGAAGAGAGGCACAGTGCTGTGAGGTTCCCGTGGTTGTTAAAGAGCACCAGAGAGGCCTCGTGGAGAGGAATGAGACCAAGGCCTCGCGGTACAGAGGAAACCACAGGAGCAGGAGAGGGAACTCCTCACCTGACAGAGCCCAGAGGCTTGTTGCTTGTTAGCCAAGCGCCCCAAACAGCAGTGGCTGAGACTCCATGCACCGTCCCGGGCCTCCAGCTGGGAATGGGCCCTGAGGAGGAGGCCCCAGCCCGGAGCAAGAGCCCGCCCTCAGCCGATGGCCCTACCTGGTCCGGCTTCAGCTCCTCCCGAACGGCCTGGATGGCGTCCCGACACTCGCTGAGCATGGACTCGAACAGCCGCTCCTTGGTCTCCTCGCTCTCCGCCTGGACAGAGGAGAAGGGGGTGCGGACTCTCTGAGTGAGGCACGCGCTTTATCCCCCATCGCACCCCAATAACGAGGGCCCCCCAGAGAGCGCTCCAGGGTCACCACGCTGCACGCTGAACCCTTCCTGGGGGCCGTGTTCACGCTGCAGGTGGGACAGGAACTCGGTACCAAAGTGACACTGAAAAGGCCTGTCCAACCGCTGACACCGTCCGCTGACACCAGAACTCTGCACTCGCCGCCCCTCAGGGCCTGCTCCGGCCTCCCTGGAGGGGCCTCGCGGACAGACCTGGCGCTGCTGCTTCTCCCGAAGCCGCCAGAGGCTTCTTTCCCTTTTCCTTCCAGAACAATCGGCCTTGCACCCCGCGGGTGGCAGCAGGGCTATCCCTCCGGTAACCCAGCAGACGTGCAGACACTGGACGGCGCTGAATCTGAGCACGTGAATAACCGTACCGATCGGCACCCACAGGCACCGTTTCCCCGTCACAGCCCCCAGCACAGGGGCCGCCCTCGCACACCCGCAGGCTGGCGGAGGGCCTCGGGCTGCACCGTGACAGTCCGCACAGTGTCACCCGCCGCTCGCCGGCTGGAAAGGGAAGGGAGAGTGACTCATTAACCGAGTGAACACCGGCCACCCCACATTACTGCCCCGAGAATCCCGCCGAGCAGGGGGGCGGCGGCAGAAAGGCGGTGACTGTTACTGCAGACCCACTGCGCCATGAACACGCCAACATGCCGTTCTCATGTTCGATTCCCACAGAGACTGGCAGCCGCCGCCTCTCAGACGCCCGGAACCCAGCACTGCCCCCCGGGGAGGGGGCTGGAAGCTTAAAGAAAACCTTGCTCTGAAGAGCGCTCAGGTGTTCGTTCTCGGGTGGGAAAACTGCCCGGGATTGCCCACGCAGACCAAACACCCTTTCTATTTACAAGCCACTTGACTCCCGCTGCTCCCTGACGAGGGGCCAGTCGGGGACAGGCCTTCTATAAATCGGTAAGGCCGGCCCGGCCTCCAGCAACTCCGAGACCCAGAGCAGCCGTCCATGGCGCTGTCACCATGACAACGCTCGGTACCGGCGTCCGCACGGCAGGCGCAGCCCCGTGACCTCTGAGCGCCTGAAGCTTCCAGCCACTTCCATCGGCCACGTGCCCGGGGCTGCTGTGCCACGGGCTGAGGAACAGTCACACAGCCCCGGCCAGCGCCTCGGGGACGGGCCTGGGTAGCCGTGTGATCGCACTGCGCCCCCAGGGCAGGCCGGTGGCCGGGCAGCAGTTTCAGGGGCGTCAGGGGTGTGACCGGGCTGGCAGCTCCGCTCAGCCAGAGCCCCTCCCGGCAGGTGCGCCGCCCCGGCCGATACTGCCACCGGCGACTCCCGCCCCCGCCCTCCGCAGGGTTCGCGGCCGGGACATGGGAGTGGAGTCAGAGGGAACCGCTTTACCGGCTCCACAGGATCCGCCCTCCCGCAGGGAGGGTCCGTAAGGAAAGGAAACGCTGCTGAACCCCTTCACCGCCGAGGGCGCTGAGCAAAGCGAAACCCGGGCCTGTCAGGAGGGCACCGTGAGGGGGGCCATCGGGAGGGGGACGGGCAGCGGGCAGGCACTCAGAGACCGAGCTCTGGCTTCCCACCAGGGAGCCTCCATGGCTCACCGTTTCACTTTTACCCATGAGCCTGCCGGGGGCCACATCCGAAAGGACAAGGACAGGAAGACTGCATGGAGGGCGGGCGGCTCCTCAGAACCCACAGCAGCGCCCACGGTCTGCGCTGGGCCCACAGCGCTCCCAGCACGCCGCCTCCCGCAGGAAGGAGGGGCCAAACCTGTCCCCGGTGTCCGCCCCCACCGCGCCCGCAGGCCCAGGCGGTCCCTCACTGGCCCCTGCACACATTCCAGATCCACTTCGCACGTCCCGGGTGTGGCCTGAGGTCACCGCTCAGGCTCACGGCTCACCATACAGAGCAGAACCGGCTGCTGTGTGTCCTGAACCCTGCCATGAAAACACTGTTTTCACTCACTGACAGAAATTGCTGGAAGGTGGTGGTGTGACTAAGAGACAAACAAGGCAGGTCTGACCACATTCCCCACCACACCCACGAGAGAGCCAGGGATGGGCACACCTCACCCAGCCACTGACTCCAGAAAAAACTATGGTGTCTGGTCAAGGGGTACAACTTCCCCAAAGTCCCCAAAGAACAGATTTTTAAAAAGAGAATAAAGGGTCTCCTTCCCACACAAACATTGGAGCATTAACCACAGCTGAGAAGCATCACCTGGAGCTGTTAACCGCCCCTCCCCAGCGCTGCTCACAGCTGCCCCGGGCCAGTGGCAGCCACACGGGACGGGGACTAAATAGCAGGGAGCTAGGAGGCGAGACAGCATTAACCACACGGAGATGTAAGCTTGGCTGACACTCAGGGTTTTGCAATGGGAGTTTGGCAGCGGATTCATTCCCAGCTCGTCTCTCAGCCCCATGTCCGTCTCCCTGAGTTACTCCTTCCTCCCGCTTCCGGTAACTCGGTTTCAGTGCCGAGGCCATGGAGCCTCGCCGAGCGGCATGACGGGGAGCGGCATTCTGCACCCGCTCCTGAGCATGCCAACACCAGTGCGGGCAGGTCGGAGACATGGGACGAAGAGCTCATCCCCAAGGTGTGAGATGTCTCACTTGGCCTAGTTAGCCGAAGCTGAATTGTGATACAAATAAGGCCAAAGACCTTCCCAACCACAGGTTTTATCCTCTCATTACGTGTAAAAGGAGAGAAAGATAAAGTCTCCACGTGGGAGACCTGCCTGCCCCGCTGACCGGCTGCATGGACGGTCCCTTTGCCAAGGGGTTGTTCCACTCCAGGCCGTGCCTAGTCGAGCCTCCCCAGCCTTCATAAATGTCAGTTTTTCTTGTCCTTTATCTGATACCTGTCTGCCCAGTCCTAGGCGCCGCCATGGAATCTGCCCCGGGCCTCCCCCCCCATTCCGGCTGGAACTCCTGCCTGGATGTCACCGGCAGTTCCTTTCTCCCAGCAAGTGTCCCTTAAATCACAGCCATTAACCCGATCACATAGCTAAGCGGCTGCTGCCAGAGCCCTCTCCAGGAGAGGCTGCCACACTCCAGTGCAACGAAATGCTCTCCAGTGTTTCTCAGTCTCCTGTTCAGGGGACACAATAAACCTCCTAGCATGTCCTAGTCTGTCCTTTAAGCAGATAAAGGAAACACCTAACACAGAGGCACAAAGGAACTCATCCTGAAAGCCGCCCTCAAACCAAAGAGGCTCCTGTGGGACAGTCACTGGACAGACGGGAACTCATCAGGCCCAGCCAGGCGCCGACACGCAGTGAGGGGGGTCCCCGCTGCTGCGGCTGCTCGGAGAGAAGCCCAGGCGCGGGGAGGTGGCGGGCGTGCCGAGGGCCCGGCTTTTCTCCTTTAAGATGCTTTTCGCTGCACATGGAGGAGGAGGAGGAGGAGGAGGAGGAGGAGGAAGAGGAGGAGGAGGAGGTCTAAAAAGTGCTGATCGCTTGCACAAACTGAGAGCTCCCGGATCTCATTTTCTGAAACTCACTTGGTTGTTTACACCCACAAACAGGCCACACTATGTCAGCAAGCAGCTCTGCATGAGTATTACACAGACCGCACATCAAACCAGATTCTCCGGTTCAGCCAGGCTCTCCTTAGAAAGCCCGGCCAGCAGGCCGGCCCTCCAGGCGGGCGGCCGGTGAGAGGTCGGAGAGAAGGAAACAGACAGCGAAGCTGCTGCTCCACCTGCTGGCCCCAAGCCACCCCTACCCGGGCCAGCTCTCCACAGCTCCCAGGTGTGTGCCGGTGACTGTGGCCATCAATTCTTTGCCCTTTACACATAGAATCTCCTCTGTAAACTTAATATCTTAGCTTTTAAGATGATTTTATTCAACAGAGTGCATCTTGAGACCGTTATCAAATACGCAACAACATTAAGGTTTTTGTTTTGTGACTTTAAACACGCACACACACACACACACACACCTCTTCAAAAACAGAGAGGATGGTACTGCCTCCTTACCTGAGCAATGGCCGCCTCGTTGTCAGCCAGTCCCAGTAAAAAGATCCGCACTTTGTCGATCTTGACGGGTACCGTCCTCCCTCTCCATTCCACTTCGCTCATGGTGGCCGCCTGTTTGGCTCGAGTCTGAGTGATCAATGCCTAGAAAGCAGCATCGGGAAGTTATAGCTTTAACTGATGGATATGAGCGGCCACGGTGAAATATACAGAAACTAGTATGTGTCTCTTTCCATAGCTAACATGTTATGCCTTAGAGAGTATACACAAATTTGTATTTGAATTCCTCCTGGGGATAATGTCTTGGCTCACAGAAACTCAACTTTTAAAAACACACCACAGAAGGTTAAAAGGACCATCACTGAGTGCTGATAAGAGTGTAGGAGAAAAGCATATCTGTCATACACCACAGCAGAAATGTCAATTAATAGAAACTGAAAATATTTATCAGTGTGTATCAAAAGCTTCCAAAATATTTCATTACACTTTTAGAAATTTGTCCAAAGGAAAGAGTTAAGAGTATGTACCAGCTGAAACCAGTTTGGCTCAGTGGATAGAGCGTCAGCCTACAGACTGAGGGGTCCCGGGTTCAATTCCGGTCAGGGGCATGTGCCTGGTTGCGGGCATATCCCCAGTGGGGGTCGTGCAAGAGGCAGCTGATTGATGACTCTCTCTCATCAATGTTTCTAACTATCTCTCTCCCTTCCTCTCTGTAAAAATCAATAAAATCTATATATTTTTTAAAATTAACAAAAACTGGGGCCATAGATATTCACGGTACTACTATTTAGCACTTAGTGATAGTGAAGAAATGGTCAAATAAACCAGACCTAAAGGAGTACTGGGTGGCCATCAAAAGATGATGATGTAGAGATGTACTTACTGAGGGAAACCACATGGGACAAATTTGAAAAGAATGTTACTGAACTGCACACTGAGATCCTGTTTTTATTTTTATGTTTATTTTTTTTTAATATATTTTATTGATTTTGTACAGAGATGAAGGGAGAGATAAAGAGTTACAAACATTGATGAGAGCCATCGATCAGCTGCCTCTTGCACACCCCCCACTGGGGATATGCCCGCAACCAAGGTACATGCCCTTGACTGGAATCGAACCCGGGACCCTTCAGTCCCCAAGCCGATGCTCTATCCACTGAGCCACATCAGTTTTGGCTGAGATCCCGTTTTTAAATATATGCCTTTTCCCCTACACACACAGAGGTCTCTGTGTGGCAACACATGTGATCCTGTGCTCCCATCTTTTTATTTTCCACTTCACCTATGAGCCTATATTGCTTAGAAAGTAAGTGTAACATGGCAAAGAACTTGAATACTTAAAAATACTAAGTGAAAATGTTTTTGCTAAAAAATATATAGAAACATGCAATATTAATAGCAATTATATTGGGTGATGGGATTATAGATTACTTCTTTTTTCTGGACTTTTTAAAACCAAAGACTTTTGCCGAAACCGGTTTGGCTCAGTGGATAGAGCGTCAGCCTGCGGACTGAAAGGTCCCAGGTTCGATTCTGGTCAAGGGCATGTGCCTTGGTTGCGGGCACATCTCCAGTAGAGGGTGTGCAAGAGGCAGCTGATCAATGTTTCTCTCTCATCGACATTTATAACTCTCTATCCCTCTCTTCCTCTCTGTAAAAAATCAATAAAAAAAACGAAAAACAAAAAAACCAAAGACTTTTCACAAAGAACATACATACCTCCAATTTCTCAGCCAGGAGACCCTCGGTGCCCCCAGACCTCAGTCTCATCTGCATGAGTTCATTGATAGCTGACTGGTCCCCTGCGAACGAGAGGAAAATGGTCAAGGGACTGGTCTGTTCTCTCCAAAACCACGAGGTTCAGCTCCCCCGGGAAGGAGCGCTCCCTGCTAGCGCGTGCAGTGACTCCAGTGCTTGCCCGGAGCCCGTGGGGCACAGCAGACGGCAGGGCGGAAGCCAAGCAAGGCCCTGCCTTCTGCGCTCCTGAGAACTGACCGACAGTCCTGCCTTTTTCAGAGACGGCCCCCCCCTCCGGGCTCGCCGCGGCCACTCACCGATGTTGTAGGCGCAGTAGCGGATGTTGGGCGAGATCTCCTCCACGCGCTGGTTGTACAGCACGGCCTGCTCCTCGGTGAAGGCGCTGGCGAGCTTCTCGTAGATGGTCCTGCGGGGAAGCAGCACGGGGTCAGCCTCGTTTTAAGGAAATGAGCTCACAAGGACCATGAGGCTAAAAACAAGACACGGCACTCGGAGGCCCTTCTACCAGCTGCCAGAGCTGGCAGGATATGAGCATGAAAGAGAGTAAGTAACATTTCTAAAGGGAAGAAAAGCAAACTGGGCTAACTTGCACAGAAACAATCACCACCTGATCTGCAGCTTGAAGGCACGGGCCGACCTAGAGTGGACCTGGAGCCTGGAGCGGAGGACTTACTTGCATTTGTTAAAAGCCTCAATGGCCGCTTTCCATTCCTGATGCTCAAACCGCAGCATTCCTGCGAGGTACGCCGTGTAGGCCTGGGGGCAGCAGGGAAAGAGAAGCGGCGTCAGCGCCCAAGACCAGGTACTACCCTGTTTCCCCGAAAATAGGTCAGTGTCTTATATTAATTTTTTCTCCCAAAGTTGCGCTAGGTCTTTTTTTCGGAGGATGTCTTATTTTTGGGGAAACACGGTAGCTCCACCTCCTCTATGTCCTCCAACTTGGGTTTCCAGAACATAGATATTCAGGCTGACTTGAAAAGAAAACTTCTCACTAAGCAAATGTGATACACAGGTAATTTATGATTCATTTACTTCCCAGGAGAGAACTTCAAAATAGAGGAAACAGGTCGTCTTCATTTTACTTAAAACCAGCTTCTGGGCTATAACGTAAGTATCAAAAGGTGAATGTAAACTTGCAATATCCATCTCGTTTAAAAAAACGCACTTAAGCCCTGACTGGTTTGGCTCAGTGGATAGAGCGTCAGCTTGCCGACTGAAGGGTCCCAGGTTCGATTCCAGTCAAGGGATGTACCTTGGTTGCAGACACAACCCTAGTTTTGAAGGAGGCAGGTGATCGATGTTTCTCTCTCATCGATGTTTCTAACTCTCTATTCCTCTCCCTTTCTCTCTGTAAAAAAAATCAATAAAATATATATTTTTAAAAATGCATTTAAGCCAAGACCGGTTTGGCTCAGTGGATAGAGCATCAGCCTGTGGACTGAAGGGTCCTAGGTTCGATTCCAGTCAAGGGCATGTACCTTGGTTGCAGGCACATCCCCAGTAGGGGGTGTGCAAGAGGCAGCTGATCGATGACTCTCATCGATGTTTCTAACTCTCTATCTCTCTCCCTTCCTCTCTGTACAAAATCAATAAAATATATATTTTTAAAAATGCATTTAAAAAATTATGATTTGTGAACTCTTCCAAATAGAAGACGAAAAGCTTCCATCTACATATGAAAAGGAACACGAGCTTCCTTTAAAAGTGAGAGCTAATTATTAAAAACCAAGAGCTCAAAATCAAGAGATGCCACCCTGGCTGGGGGCTGGGTTGGTTGGAGCCCTTGAACCCAAGGCTGCAGGCTGGCTCCCTGTCCGGGCGCATGCCCAGGCTGCAGTGTGATCCCGTCAGGATGTATATGGGAAGCAGCCCATCGCTTTCACATGTTTCTCCACGCCCCCCCCACCTCTCTCTCTAAAATCAATAAACATGTCCTCAGGTGAGGGTGAAAAAAAAGAGATGCCCACTTCACCTTGAAAAACCAGACCCAGCTTCCCCCTCCTGCCTCAGTGTGTGCCCAGAGCTCTGCCTGTGTACCTGCAGTTTGTGGCATCGCGCCTCCCACCGGCACCATAAGCAAGGCCGCCGTGAAGACACTGACCTGAGCCTCTAACTTGGTCTTGGCATCCACGCGGTTGCTCTCACACAAGCGCTCCAGTTCCTCCGCGTGTTTGACGGCTTTGCGCAGGCGGGACAGCAAGTGGAAGCGTTTTCGGGGTTCGGTGTTGGCTTCCTGTTTGAGCTGCATGGCGTAGCTCCAGGCTCTCTCCGCATCCATCAGCACCAGCAGCAAATACCTAAGCCAGAGGCGGGAGCGAGCTGACGGGCAGGGCCAGGAGCAGGCTCAGACGTTCTCCGAGGCACAGCCCTCGGCCTCGCAGCTTCCTCCTCGCTCCCCGGCTCTCCTCTCACTGCTCTTCCCACGGCAGCCCCGACCTCAAACCGGCATCTTGGCTGAGGCTCCCGACACAGGCGCCTCCTCAGGTTTGTTTGTGTTTTTTTTTTTTTCTTTTTCTAAATATATTTTTTTTGATTTCAGGGTGGAATAGAGGAGATAAAAACATCAATGATGAAAATCACTGATGGGCTGCCTCCTGCACACCCCCTACTGGGGATCGAGCTTGCAACCCAGGCATGTGCCCTTGACCAGAATCCAACCTGGGACCCTTCGGTCCACAGGCCGACGCTCTATCCACTGAGCCAAACCAGCCAGAGATACCTCAGGTTTCTAACCAACACCAGATACATCTCACTGAAAAGCCTGCTCCCACCTCAATGGCAAACCTAGACTGACCCCTCCCAAATTTTAGCAAATAGAGACTGTCCAACCACACACTCTGGCCTCACCTTTGAACCCACACCTCTCTTATCCCAACCCAGTTAGAAACCTAAGCAGTAGGAGGCGCTATTGTGAGCCGGGTGGGTGTGACTCGGTGAACCGACATCATCCTGTTCACAGCAAACTTCTCTTGTCAAGGGCCCAATATTTTAGACTCCATAGACCATATGGTCTCTGTCACAATTACTGTTATGGTAGCACAAAGCAGCTGGAAGCAATACTGAGCAAATGGTGTGGGCTGTGTTCCAATAAAACTTTATTTATACGAACAGGTGGCAGGAGGACCAATCTGGCCCACCGGCTGCAGTTTGAGGAACTGACCTAGCGGCCTATGCCTGTGCCTGGCAGGTTCCTCCTCAGAAACATGAAGCCTGGTGCACGCAGCACTGAACACAGGACTCATCTGTAGTAGCCTGCACGCGGCCAGGTTCCATCTAAATCTCCTAACTTAACAAGCACTTCCAGACACTGACATCTGCGTTCCAGAAACCTTTCCCAGCACTGTTAGATTTTAATCCCTGACTTGAACATTGCATTCCACCACAGCTTTTGAACAAGTTCTTGAACCTTATTATAACACAGCAATAGTAAAAAGGCCCACTCCACAGAGCTGCTAAAAAATCACACGAGCCCACTGGTTTGGCTCAGTGGGAGAGCGTTGGCCTGCAGATTGAAGGGTCCCAGGTTCGATTATGGTCAGGGCACATGCCCATGTTGTGGGCTCAGTCCTATACAGGAGGCAGCCAATCAATGGTTCTCTCTCGTCCTTGATGTTTCTATCTTTCTCTCCCTCTCCCTTCCTCTCTGAACTCAATAAATATATATATATATATTTTTTTAAATCACACGAGACAATGAAAGGGTTTGGCAAAATGTCTGGCATACTGTAAAAAGTACTTAGCATCCAGCACTGAGCCGTCAGTACCTGCTATCAGTCAGAAGCTCTTCCGTCACCTTTTTCCCTGTGAATTTGTGCCTGTTCCCCATCTTGAAGTTGAGAGTTTTCCGGAGACGCCTTTGTCTACGGGAACAGTAGCCCCTGTAAGAAACCACAAACAACCATCACTCAGACCACCTGACAGGACGTTCCACAATGAATTCTGTAATCAGGCCAGCTCAAAGGTTTAACATGTTCTACGTATGGTTACTACAGACACCATACACCGTCTTGCAAACACTCACTGAAGGAAAATAAGCCGGGCAGTCTGACTGGCATCATGGAAAACAGAGCGAGACAGAGGACACATTATCAAATCCATCCTCTAGTTGGGAGGATCATGCAGATAAAACAGCAACCAAGAAAACAAGGCAAATAGCAAACTGAATGTCAAGTTAGCGAGTAATCATCCTCTTCTTGCTGACACTTCAGGGGAGTGGGCTGATGGGTTTTGAAAGAAAGGGCAGAATGCCTGTCTCACTATTATGAACTCCTTTAGTGCAAAGGTGATTTTATTTTCCAATTTCTAAGCACAGTGCCTACCATATAGGTGCTCAGTAAAAGTATTTTGACTAAATTAGTGTAAAAAATATATAAAATTTTGCCGAAACCGGTTTGGCTCAGTGGTAGAGCATCGGTCTGCGGACTGAAAGGTCCCGGGTTCGATTCCGGTCAAGGGCATGTACGTTGGCTGCGGGCACATCCCCAGTGGGGGATGTGCAAGAGGCGGCTGGTCGATGTTTCTCTCTCATTGACATTTCTGGCTCTCTATCTCTCTCCCTTCCTCTCTGTAAAAAAATCAATAAAATATTATAAAAAAATATATATATATATATAAAATTTTACCAACCCTGAATCAAATAACATAACGCATAATTTACAATACAGAATAATATTTAAATGCTACTGTAGTATCTTAGTCCTAAAGCTACCAGGGTATAGCTTGTTAAAAAGAAAAATAACAGTCTGGCTGAATCGAAAAACTAGATCTTCTCCCTCGATTCATAATTTTTGCTTTAATTATCACTTATCCTTTTACATAAAAATCAAATGGAACACTCATGGGGAGGAATATAAATTGCTAAGAATTTTCTGGCAATTTGGATACATTTATCACGATCCTTAAAAATGTTCATACTTCCTGAACCAACAGTCTATTTCTATACTATTCTATATTCAAGAAATAATAATAATAATAATAATAATAAAAGAAATAATCAACAAGGTTTCATGGAAACAGATTCATGGGAACAAAAATTTTAAATCTAAAAAATTGGCTATCATATACATAACCAACTCCAAGGAAAAGGTAAATAAATCATTGTATACATATAATAACACTGGTTAATAGTGCAACTCATAAGAATCATGTGTGTAGAACATTTTTATAGGCAGGGAGAAATACATAAAATATAATATTCAGCCAAAAAGCAGGACACATATTTGTATATACAATCTGAGCAAGCTTATGAAAAAGTGCATAGAAAAGAACTAGAAAACCAAAAACACTATTTTGTGGACACACATATACAATATATTTATGTATTTAAAGACATAAAAATGACTAAAAGGTACACACTGATATCAATTTTATGTTATGTATATTTTTACCACCAAAAAGCCAATTAAAATGCAATATTGGCCTGGCCAATATTGGCTCAGTGGTTGAGCATCGATCTATGCACCAAGAGGTAACCAGTTTGATTCCCAGTCAAGGCACATGCCTGGATTCTGGTTTGATCCCTAGTAGGGGGTGTGCAGGAGGCAGCCGATCAATGTTTCTCTCTCATCGATGTTTCTCTCTATATATCCCTCTCCCTTAACCTCTCTACAATAAATACATATTCTTTTTAAAAACGCAATATTGAATAAAATCATTAACTAGAAAAAACACACAAACTGGAACAGAGCGGAAAGTTGATCACTGTAATAAACATGTGATGAGTTCATTATAACATCAACCCTACATTTGTTTTTGGACATTTTCTCAATATTTACAAACAAATCAAGTGATAAAAAGCTGCTGTTTAACTCTTCAGTGGCTTCCCCGCCCCTGAGATGAGCACCTGAAGGAGTTTAGCCTCCAGGGCCCTCCAACCTCTGGTCCTGCCACTGCCCCCTGGCTCCCTCTGCCCAGCCCCCTGACCTTCACCTTAAAGCCGATTCCTTAGGAGCTGAGATTAGAGTGTTTCAGCAGCACTTTTAAAACCAGGTAGCCAAAGCCTATATCTACAATACAGGAAAAGTTGATATTTCTGCTTTCAAAGTACAGAACTCTATTACACATTAGGCATTTATTGTATTTTTTAGACTCGTATTAAATGTTTTTCAACGTACAGACTGTCATAAAAGTTTCCTAATAAATCGTAATGCCGGAAATCCCCCTTCTATGTTTAAAATACTGTAAAGATTTGCCAAAGCCGGTTTGGCTCAGTGGTGGAGCGTCGGTCTGTGGACTGAAAGGTCCCAGGTTCGATTCCGGTCAAGGGCATGCACATTGGTTGCGGGCACATCCCCAGTAGGGGGTGTGCAGGAGGCAGCTAGACGATGCTTCTCTCTCATTGACATCATCGACATTTCTAGCTCTCTATCTCTCTCCCTTTCTCTCTGTAAAAAAATCAATAAAATATACTTTAAAATACTGTAAAGATCTGCATTTAACCAACACTACATCACATGGCTAAGTTAAAAAAAAATGATTAGCATTAACTGCTTGTTAATTTCAGCAGAAGCCTCCCATGTATCTGTAATATTGAGGCAAAATGGATAAAAAAAAAAAAAAAAATTGGCTCTTTTTATTCATTATAAAACTTTACATTTGAAAATTAAGTCTCTTTTGAGGATCCAATATAAAGTTCAGAGCTAGACTTTCTAGGTAGACTTTCTGATAGCACAAAGTAGGATATTAACAGAGGCAAACTAAGCTGAAAATTCCACAACGAGTTGCACGCGATACTAACCTGTACCTCTGAAAATCTCCATGCCGCAAGCCGTGCTGCTGCTGGGACTCCTTAATGATCTGAAGAACTAGAGCCACGGTTAAGGAAACGCTTACGATGGCAGGAACCCCAATAAATCACAACGCGTCCCCATCAGTCTATATTTGTACCCAAGCGCAGCATATTAGACACTCCTGAAATACCTTTTAGCACGTTAACCAGTGAAACCATTATCAATAGCTAGCTTACGCTAGGACAGGGCGAAGCGCATAGAAAATCAGATTGCCTTAACCATCTCTACTTCACTCTAAAAAAGGAGGCCATTGCTAGCCATTGGGGATTACTGAAACCAACCGCTTAAATAAGGCTGCTGGATCCTCAACGCTGGCTGTGAGTGGGCCGGTGCCCACGGACTGCCACCTGGACCCGGTAACCTTCTCCTTCAGGCAGGTTCCGGCTGTCAACCACGTGTGTCCCTCCTCCCTTTGCATGAGCGCCTGCACCTGCCAAATCCAACTTTCCTCAACAGCTGTGATGCCCCAGGCGCCTATGATGAGCGCACGCCAACCAAACCAGGCCGCGGTTTGCATAAAGATACCGAAGTTGTCATTTTCAAAGAGCAAGCCCTGCCTAAACTCTCCTTTTTAAGAATCTTAACATAGTTTAAGATCATGTACCAACCTTTAGAAAGTCCAATGACCCTGATCTACAACTTTAAGTTTCCTTTTCCCCGTTTCCTCAATGCTTCCCTGCGGGTGTATTTTTCAATACTAAACATTAAAAGGAGTCTTTTCATAACTCAAAAGGGACAAGGCGGTCTAGGGTCCGCGGTACGATCCAGGCGTCCTAACTCCCATCTGGCATTTACACACCACCATTACACACCACCAGTTCAAAAAGCCCAAGCCGCTGAGAGCTTAACTCTACCGAGGTGTCAAGCGAAATGTGTCGTTGCAGAAGCTCAGCTACAGGCTCTCCACCTGTGCCTTCATTTCAAAACAGCCAGCAGCCAGTGTCATCAGCTCCACTGGGGCCACACGCGCTGGGCACTGGAAATCGCCTCCTCCGGCGCCCGCCGCTCTGCTAGGAGAGCTTCGCAAGCGGGGCTGGGGAGCTGCGAGGACTCGCATTCAAAACGGCCACAAGCTCTGCCTTCGCCTCCGGAGCCCCGCGCTGGGATTTCCACAGCCCGGGCCCCGACGGCGCGCCGAGGGACACGTCGTCACCCCGAGCGGGGCCCGGCCGCGCTAGGATACTCTCCAAGCTCAGGCTGTCCCCGAACTCTTTGTTTGCCTTCGATCCGGCCGAAGGCCGCTCGTTTTCCTTGTTCTCTTCTCCGCCGGCCCCGCGTCCGCCGCCGCCGCCGCCGCCGCCGCTGCCCCCGCCGCCGCCGCCGCCGCCGCCGCCAGGTACCTGTTTCTCAGCAGCCATCTTGCCCCGGTGCCGCAGAGCACGACGGGACGGAGGAGGCGTGGCGAGCGCGGCGGGAGAGAGCGGCCCTGCCGGGCGGAGGCTCATGGGATAGCGGCGGACTCCGCTCCCCGGCCCGGCGCTCTGGAGGCGGCCACTTGTCGGAGGGGGTCTCTGGGTGGGCTCGGAGGAGTCTTTAAAATATGCTCACTGAAAAAAAAATTGCCGAAACCGGTTTGGCTCAGTGGTAGACCGTCGGTCTGCGGACTGAAAGGTCCCGGGTTCGATTCCGGTCAAGGGCATGTGCCTTGGTTGCGGGCACATCCCTGGTGGGGGGTGTGCAGAAGGCAGCTGGTTGATGTTTCTCTCTCATCGCCGTTTCTATAATAGTTCTCTATCTCTCTCCCTTCCTCTCTGTAAAAAATCAATAAGATATATTTTTTTAAAAAGTAAAATAAATAAAAATAAAATATAATTTGCTTACTGAAAGAAGCCCCACAGGAGGCTGTATATTGCATAGGTCCATTGATATGCAATGTCCCGAATAGGCAATTCTATAGACAGAAAGCAGTGGCTGCCTCCGGCTGAGAGTGGGTGTAGAGTTGGGAGACATATGGCTAAAAGGGTAGAGGAAACCTTTTCGGGGAAAGAAGACGGTTCCAAAATGGACTGTGGTGGTTGTAGAATTCTGTATATAATAATTAAACAAATGCACAAACACTTTAAATGGGTATAGTGCCTGGTATGTGAAATGCATTTCAATAAAAATTTTTTGAAGTCAGTCAGATTGGGTTAGTCAAAACTTTGCGGAGGCCCCTCATCTTTCTCAGCCTAGAGCTAGAAGCAACCGTCCCCACCGTGGAAAAAAGCCCGGCATGCTGTGCCTCTTCCCGCCTCTCCTGCCAACCTCCTTCCGGTCCGATCAGCAGTCATTCCAGCCTCCTGGCTCAGGGACTCAGGCAGGGCCTGCTGTGGGGTGGGCACTGGCTTCGTCTGCTCTCTCCTAGATATCTACTACTCTAGCTCTCCCACTTTGTTCAAGACTCTTTTTTTAAATGTATATTTTATTGATATTTTACAGAGAGGAATGGAGAGAGATAGTTAGAAACATCGATGAGAGAGAAACATTGATCAGCTGCCTCCTGCACAGCCCCTACTGGGGATGTACCCACAACCAAGGTACATGC